GCAAGTGATGCTGGGGATGTTGCCCATGCTGGTGAAGGAAATGAAGGGGGGAAAGGGGGAAAGGATCTCAACAGCGAAAGGGGGGGAAAGATCTCAGGGAGGAAAGGGAGAAGATCTGGGGAAAAAATGCCTTAAGGGGGAAAGGGGGGAAAAGATCTTTGGGAGGAAAAGGGAAATCTTTCTCGGGGGGAACAGGCCCTAAGGGGCAATGGGGGGACAGGATCTCAAACGGGAAAGGGGGAAAAAGACTTTGGGAAGAGAAGGGTGGAGATCTTGGGGGGAAAAGGCCTTAGGGGGGAAACGGGGGAAAGGATCTTAAGCGGGAAAGGGGGGAAAAGATCTTAGGGAGGCAAAGGGAGACGAACTCAGGGTGCGAAAAGGCCTTAGGGGGGACAGGGGGGAAAGGATCTCAAAAAAGAAAGGTGGGAAAAGCTCTTAGGAAGGAAAAGAGAGAAGATCTCAGGGGGGAAAAGGCCTTAGGGGGGAAAGGGGGGAAAGGATCTCAACAGGGAATGGCGGGAAAACATCTTAGGGAGGAAAAAGGAGGAAAAGGGATATGATCTCAGCCTTCGGGGGGAAAGGGGGGGAAAGGATCGAAAAGCGAGAAGATCTCAGGGGGGGAAACGGCCTTAAGATCTCAGGGGGGGAAAGGCCTTAGAGGGGAAAGGGGGAACGGATCTCAACACGGAACGGGGGCAAATGATCTTAGGGGGAAAGGGGGGGAAAGGATCTCAACAGGGACAGGGAGAAAAGATACTAGGGAGGCAGAGGGAGAAGATCTCGAGGGGAAAGGGGGAAAGGATCTCAACCGGGGGAAAAGATCTTGGGGAGGCAAAGGGAGAAGGCCTTAGGGGGGAAAGGGGGGAAAGGTTCTCAACAGGGAAAGGGGGGAAAACATCTTAGGGAGGAGAAGGGAGAAGATCTTGGGGGGAAAAGGCCTTAGGGGGGAAAGGGGGGGAAAGGATCTCAACAAGGAAAGTGGGGAGAAAAAGAGGCCTTAGGGGGGAAAGGGGGGAAAGGCTCTCAACAGGGAAAGGTAGGGGAGGAAAAGGGAGAAGATCTCAAGGGGAGGAAAGGGGGGGAAGGATCTTTGGGAGGAAAAGGGAGAAGAACTGAGGGTGGGAAAATGCTTTAGAAGGAAAAGGGGGGAAATAAATGATCTCAACAGGGAATGGGGGGGGGGGGGAAGATCTTGGGGAGGAAAGGCAGAAGATCTGGGGCAAAAAGGCCTTAGGGGGGAAAGGGGAGAAATGATCTCAACAGGGAAAGGGGTGGAAAAGATCTTCAAGAGGGAAAGGGCGGAACAGATCTTAGGAAGAAAAAGGGAGAAGCTCTCAGGGGGGGGGGAAAGGCCTTAGGGGGGAAAGGGGGAAAAGGATCTCAGCAGGGAAAGGGGGGGGGGGGGAAGATCTTCGGGAGGAAAGGGAGAAGATCTGGGGACAAAGGCCTTAGGGGGGAAAGGGGAGAAATGATCTCAACAGGGAAAGGGGTGGAAAAGATCTTAGGGAGGAAAGGGAGAAGATCTGCGGGAAAAAAGGCCAACAGGGAAAGGGGGGGAAGATCTAAGGAAGGAAAAGGGAGAAGCTCTCAGGGGGGGAAAGGCCTTAGGCGGGAAAGGGTGGGAAGGATCTCAACAGGGAAAGAGGGGAAACAATTTTAGGAAGGAAACGGGAGAAGATCTGGAAAGGCCTTAAAGGGAAGGGGGGAAAGGATCTCAACGGGGAAAGGGGGCAAAGGATCTTAAGGAGGAATAGGGAGAAGATCTCAGCGGGGGGAAAGGCCTCAGGAAGGAAAGGAGGGAAAGGATCTCAACAGGGAAAGGGGGGGAAAGATCTCAGTGAGGAAAGGGAAAAAGCTCCCAGGCAGGGAAAAGGCCTTAGGGGGGAAAGGGGGAAAGGATCTCAACAGGGAAAGGGGGCAAAGGATCTTAGGGAGGAAAAGGGAGAAGATCTGAAAAGGCCTTCGGGGGAAGAGGGGGAAAGGAGCTCAACAGGGAAAGGTGGGAGAAGATCCTAGGGAGGAAAAGGGAGAAGATCTCGAGGGAAAGGGGGAAAGGATCTCAACCAAGGGAAAAGATCTTGGGGAGGACAAGGGAGAAGATCTCAGGGGGGGAAAGGCCTTAGGGGGGAAAGGGGGGAAAGGATCTCAACAGCGAAAGAGAGCAAAGGATCTTAGGGAGGAAAAGGGAGAAGATCTTGGGGGGGAAAGCGCCTTAGGGGGGAAAGGGCGGGAAAGGATCTCAACAAGGAAAGGGGGGAAAAGATCTTAGGAAGGAAAAGGGGGAAGATCGCGGGGGGGAAAAAAGGCCTTAGGGGAGAAAGGAGGGAAAGGATCTCAACAGGGAGAGGGGGGAAAACATCGTAGGGAGGAAAAGGGAAAAACTCGGAGGGAGAGAGAAGATCTGGGAGAAACGGACTTAGGGGGGAAAGCCCAACAGGGAAAGGGGGGAAAAGATCTTAGGAAGGAAAAGGGAGAAGCTCTCAAGTGGGGAAAGGCCTTGGGAGGGAAAGGGGGGAAAGGATCTCAACAGGGAAAGGGTGGGAAAGATCTTAGGGAGGAAAGGGGGGGAAGATCTTAGGGAGGAAAGGGAGAAGATCTGGGAGAAAAGGACTTAGGGAAGAAATCCCAACAGGGAAAGGGGGGAAAAGATCTTAGGAAGGAACAAGGAGAAGCTCTCAGGGATGGGAAAGGCCTTAGGGGGGAAAGGATCTCAGCAGGGAAAGGGGGGGGGAAAGATCTTAGGGAGGAAAGGGAGAAGATTTGGGGACAAAGGCCTTATGGGGGAAAGGGGAGAAATGATCTCAACAGGGAAAGGGGTGGAAAAGATCTTAGGGAGGAAAGGGAGAAGATCTGGGGAAAAAAAGGCCAACAGGGAAAGGGGGGAAAGATCTAAGGAAGGAAAAGGCAGAAGCTCTCAGGGGGGGAAAGGCCTTAGGCGGGAAAGGGTGGGAAGGATCTCAACAGGGAAAGGGGGGAAACAATCTTAAGAAGGAAAAGGGGGAAGATCTGGAAAGGCCTTAAAGGGAAGGGGGGAAAGGATCTCAACGGGGAAAGGGGGCAAAGGATCTTAAGGAGGAATAGGGAGAAGATCTCAGCGGGGGGAAAGGCCTTAGGAAGGAAAGGAGGGAAAGGATCTCAACAGGGAAAGGGGAGGAAAGATCTCAGTGAGGAAAGGGAGAAGATCCCAGGCAGGGAAAAGGCCTTAGGGGGGAAAGGGGGAAAGGATCTCAACAGGGAAAGGGGGCAAAGGATCTTCGGGAGGAACAGGGAGAAGATCTGAAAAGGCCTTAGGGGGAAAAGGGGGAAAGGAGCTCAACAGGGAAAGGTGGGAGAAGATCCTAGGGAGGAAAAGGGAGAAGATCTTGGGGGGAAAGGGGGAAAGGATCTCAACCAAGGGAAAAGATCTTGGGGAGGACAAGGGAGAAGATCTCAGGGGGGGAAAGGCCTTAGGGGGGAAAGGGGGGAAAGGATCTCAACAGGGAAAGAGGGCAAAGGATCTTAGGGAGGAAAAGGGAGAAGATCTCAGGGGGGGAAAGGCCTTAGGGGGGGAAAGGGGGGAAAGGATCTCAACAAGGAAAGGGGGGAAAACATCTTAGGAAGGAAAAGGGGGAAGATCGCGGGGGGAAAAACGGCCTTAGGGGGGAAAGGAGGGAAAGGATCTCAACAGGGAGAGGGGGGAAAATATCGTAGGGAGGAAAAGGGAAAAACTCAGAGGGAGAAAGGGCCTTAGGGGGGGAAAGGGGGAATGGATCTCAACAGGGAAAGGTGGCAAAAGATCTTAGGGAGGAAAAGGGAGAAGATCTCAGGGGGGAAAGGCCTTAGGGGGGAAAGGGGGGAAAGGATCTGAGCAGGGAAAGGGGGGGAAAGATCTTAGGGAGGAAAGGGAGAAGATCTGGGGGCAAAGGCCTTAGGGGGGAAAGGGGAGAAATGATCTCAACAGGGAAAGGGGTGGAAAAGATTTTAGGGAGGAAAGGGAGAAGATCTGGGGGAAAAAAGGGCAACAGGGAAAGGGGGGAAAGATCTAAGGAAGGAAAAGGGAGAAGCTCTCAGGGGGGGAAAGGCCTGACGGGGGAAAAAGTGGGAAGGATCTCAACAGGGAAAGGGGGGAAACAATCTTAGGAAGGAAAAGGGAGAAGATCTGGAAAGGCCTTAAAGGGAAGGGGGGAAAGGATCTCAACAGGGAAAGGGGGCAAAGGATCTTAAGGAGGAATAGGGAGAAGATCTCAGCGGGGGGAAAGGCCGTAGGGGGGAAAGGGGGGAAAGGATTCCAACAGGGAAAGGGGGGGAAAGATCTCAGGGAGGAAAGGGAAAAGATCCCAGGGAGGAAAAGGCCGTAGGGGGGAAAGTGGGGGAAAGGGAGGAAAAGGGAGAAGATCTCAGGGGGGAAAAGGCCTTAGGGGGGAATGGGGGGAAAGGATCTCAACAGGGAGAGGGGGGAAAACATCTTAGGGAGGAAAAGGGAAAAAACAGAGGGAGAAAAGGCCTTAGGGCGGAAAGGGGGAATGGTTCTCAACAAAGAAAGGGGGGCAAAAGTCTCAGAGGGGAAGGGGGCAAGGGGACAATTCCAAAGGGACGCAAATAAGAAAGCAGGCCTGTAATGTCGGCGGCCTGAGCCGGAGGCGTTAAAATTATATAGGCCAGCAATATAGCATGCACAAGCAAAGGGAATGTGCGTGGGTATCTGGTATCTGGCAAACCCTGCCAGACGGGATGCCAAGTATGGCTATTCCGTTCTTCCTTGCCAAAATACCCGAGCAGGCGTTCCTGACAAATCCGATTTGCCGACATAGGACACACTCCAGCCACTGGCCCAAGAAAACCTTTCAGAAGACTGGGTATGTAATTTTGAGGGGACGTGACGGTCTTCGGAGGGTACTCCCTTTTTTATGGTTTTGACGGAAAACCAAAGGGAACACCACCTTTTTGGGGGCTCCCGCAAAGAAAAAAAACACACGAAGTCTCAGGCATCTGTCAAGAAAAACACCGCCAGGCCCCCCCGCAAGCAGGCGATTGCCCAGGAACGTGAGGCCGGCCACGGCCAACTGCTCCAGCCACTTTAATCGCACCTGCGCCTGGGACGGGAAGCCGATGGGCCGATGGTCCCGGGCTCGGAACTCAAAACGGGCACGGGAAACAGGAATCCGGATGCATGAAAAACACCTGAACGTTGCCTGCAACTTGTAAATGGTGGTGTCCAACTAAAAAAAATGGTGGTGAAAAAGCAACATGTTTCAATTGGGCAAGCAAAATGGAGATCTTTTAAGGAGCCCTGGGAAACCAATGGAAGTGATGTCCCGAAGCTCAGCTGAAGGATGCGAGCAACAGTTCTTCCAGGAGTGGCAGGTTGTGGTCAAGCTTCGGTCTGTTTTGCTCGGAGGTAGATATGAAATCCGTCCGTTCCCCCCCATGAATGCACCCTGTCAGCAAATACTGTTCTTCCCGGACCCCAAATCTCCCAATACTGAATTCGAATTGGCCAATACTAAACCATTTCTCAACCTGCGAATTTCCTGCCAACCCAACTCCAGTGTTGGGGACATTTTAGAGATACTAGACCAATTCTAAACCAATGCTAGACCAATACAAAACCGATCCGAAACCAATTCTAAGCCCATTCAAAACCAGCGCCAATGCACACACACAACATGAAGTAGATTTCGGCTCTTGCTCTGAGTTCCTTCGGAGAAACCCAGGCCCCGAAAGGGGGAACCTGCTTGGACGAGGACTGCAGCGGAACCCCGCTGCAGAGTGTTCATAAATCTCGGGCTCCAGGCGCATAGGCAGGGGATCCCACCAATGGAAATTCATAGACCTGCCCTTTGCATAGCAAAACCTCGCAGACGAGATTTTTGTATTTTTGCTGGGCTTTGTGCGTGTTTGAAGTACCCCAGCCGTGCACGCCACAGTTTTGAGACCAACCCATGGGACAAAAAGGTGAGTAAACTCCGCTTGCCTTTGTGCCTGTTGACCCCTTTGCAACAAGTTTTCGACTTTGTGGCTCCAATTCGGAAAACCACACATTTCCGATGTCTAGCTCTGCTTCCTACCACTTAAAGTCCAAAGATCCGTCAATTGCCAAAAAGGCACAACACAACATTTCGGAGCCCCAGCTCTCGTTGAGACCCTCGGGTGCCCCGTTTGGTGAGGCGCCAGTGAGGGACTTGGGATGTCCATGTAGCTCAGGCCGGAGAGCACCGACGGCGCGAAGATCACCTGACACGATGCCGCCAGCTGAGGCTCGCAACCAAAAAGAGCTTCCAAAACCCAGTGAGCTCTTCACGTTTCCTGGAACCAACTGCAGTACTACCCAGCCTTTATACACATGCGACAGGTGAGAGCCACATAGCACCCGGCATCTGCCTTCTTCACCCTGCTGGTCTTGCAACAAGAGCTATTCTGACCGGGTCAGCAGCAATAATGATTTATTTCCCCCCGAATCACTGTGCATGTTTGACGACATCCCCGCAAAACGAGCTGGAGCAAGAGGGAGCAAGAGGGAGCAAGAGGGAGCAAGAGGGAGCAAGAGGGAGCAAGAGGGAGCAAGAGGGAGCAAGAGGGAGCAAGAGGGAGCAAGAGGGAGCAAGAGGGAGCAAGAGGGAGCAAGAGGGAGCAAGAGGGAGCAAGAGGGAGCAAGCAAGCAAGCAAGCAAGCAAGCAAGCAAGCAAGCAAGCAAGCAAGCAAGCAAGCAAGCAAGCAAGCAAGCAAAGCAAGCAAGCAAGCAAGCAAGCAAGCAAGCAAGCAAGCAAGCAAGCAAGCAAGCAAGCAAGCAAGCAAGCAAGCAAGCAAGCAAGCAAGCAAGCAAGCAAGCAAGCCAAGAGCAGGCAAGTGAGCAAGCAACGGAGCAAGCGAGCAAGCAAGCACCAACCAAACCACTCGCGCTGAGACCAGAGCGGCCGCCAACACGAAGACCATGAGCAGGCCGCAAATCAGCGTCAGCACCTTGGCTTTGTGACCCGCTGGCCACCGTCTCTTGTCGGCCTTCTTGTCTTGGCAATCCTAGCCTGTCTGGGCTGGTATTGATCTGGTCAAGTCTTTGGTCTGACTGGCTGCATGTCGATCACTTGTGGTACATTGCGGAACAGGCCTGTGATCCCAGCATGACTCTGAGCTCATGAGAGAGGAAGCGCTTCTTGGCTGGCTATTGGATTCAGGAGCACTCGAATGATTGATCAGTCACTCCTTGGAAGAACGAACTCCCCACCTCACAGAATGAGTCAGGATCATGCACACTGGCGAATCCACCTGTCGAGGTTGCTGCCACTCGAGACATCTTGAGGCCGCCTTGTACCTGCTAGCGTCACCGCGACAAATATGGCTTGGTCTGCGGCATGCTGCAGAAAGGACCGTAAAAGCTCGCAAAAACGCAAACGCCCAAAACACCCTGGGCTCCTAGACCCCTTCATGAAGGCAGCAGGATTTTAGATTCTGCTTGAATCTGCTTCCGCATTGTCCACCTATCCTGAAAAAAACAACATGTGTTTAACTTCTAAGCCTGCTCGGGTAACGCGCACATCAGCAAATAACAATATGGCCAGCAGTACTCCAGTGCCTGTTACACTGTTGGTCTCCTGCTTCTCAAGACCTGCAATTCAAACCCAAACAAATAAGTTGGAGGGCGCCCTGCAACTCACAGATCAAGATTGCAACCCAGAATCAACCAACGAATGAATGAGCAGGTAGATCTCGCTTGCAAACAACGACACACACACACACAAACGGCCAAATGATGCATGGCGTCTGTGGCAAAGTTTACGGAAACACGCTCCACATGTGATATGAGCACACCAGTGTCTTGCTGTGGTTTGCTTGATTTTACTGAGTCCCTTTGTCCCTGATAATGATTCGCCACTGACTGGATATTTTGACTAAGCCCCTGTTTCCGTCAATCCCTTCAGGGCAAAGAGACCGCTCCACCCGCAGAAGTCGGCCTGATAGTTGCGCCAAAGGATGTCGCAGGGATCAGGCGCCTGCGGCTCAGGTTCAAAGGCAAGAGGAGGAACTACCCTGTGGTTCATTCCCATGTGGAACATATGCTGTGCAAAACCCTGCGTCTTGCCCTCTTACAGTGCATGTCTGAGTACGTGCATGCGTCTCTATCTCTCCGGCATGGATGGCTCTGAATGATAACGTCGTCTGACTACCTGCAATACCTTTACCCATCTTGAGGAAAGTAGCAAACCGTGTGCGGCTAAGGTGCACGGCAACCAAACGGCCAGGTTCAACTCTCAATTGAGCCAGGAAACCAAACCCATCTGAGGTGTGACTCGGAGAGGAAGAAGCACCATTTTGTTGGATTTGGGCAAAGCTGTGCGCAGGAGTGACCGACGACGCTTCATGAACTCGGTTTGATCTATTCGATCCAAACAGACACAACAACTGCGACAAGAGAAGCCCCGCTCTTGCTACGTAGCCACGTCAGCTCAAATGGCAACCTTGACCCGCTTCCCTCCCTCCAAACTTTTGAAGGGATACCCACATAGATGTGTCCTTTTTGGGGAACCCCCCTCTTTTGGTGGGTTTTGAGGGGAAACCAAAAGGAGAACCATCATTTTGGTCTTGGGACAAAGGCATCTGTGCTATGTTGACCTTGTGAACGTTGAAAGGAGCACCAGGTCTGCATCCGCGAAAACGGGAATTCGGGGGATTGCATGGAGCTTGCTTGGCGCTCAGTGAGCTTCCTTCGGTTCCCATCTTCGGTTTCCTGGCTTCTGGCCTGCCATCTGCTTAACCCCCCGGCAAAAATGAGAAATGTCCAGTAGCGATAGATTCCCGTTAAAGCCAACAGGGGAAAGTAACAACATATTCATTTGAGCAAATTGAAGTGGCCGGTTTTCTGTGAGAAAGGGAGCTGGGGATGGCTTCCGGGCTTCATCTTCATGGAGGTGGTTTGCATTCTCCTCCACAAGAATAAGGGACTCAAACTCCGAAATCACCAATCCAAACCATCAACCAAGTGGTCCCTGATACTTTCAACGCGGGAAACTGCCCCATTTCGCGGTCAGATCTGTTGTTCCCCTTGAAGTGTCCAGCCCCAATCCTCGGCCACCGTGATGGGGAACTTCCCACCTAAGCACCGGCATGTGGGTAAGCTGTTGTCGCTTTACTTTGAAACCGGAAAGGAACAGGCACCCTGAAGACATCGCTTGGCTCCACCGCCAAAAAAAGCATATGAGGCCCGGTCGAAAATACTACTTGCCTTACGGCGGTTTCGCTACTTAGTTTGAGAGTCCCATATCGTTTTCCAGCGTTTCAATCCTTTTCCAGGGGTATCGTTTTTTGAGTCCCCCATCCTTGGCCATGGTTCGTGCAAAGTCACATTATCTCAATATCCACACTTCGCTTCAAGTGGTTGGCCAGGGTCAAGCACCCTTGGCCCAGCTCGACCCTGTTGTGTGCGGGTGTGGGGGGTCAAAAATAGGTACCCAAAATGGAACCCTGGAAAATGGAAACATGGTTTCTAAAACCTGCGGTTTTCTGGTATATTCTCAGAATGGCCTTTGCCACTGGTGTCATCAAGGGAGTAAAGCAGTTTAGCCTGAAAGGCCCAGAAGCAACCAGCGGGCACCAACGATTGTGGGGGGGCTTTCGATCTCCTATCAAGGGGCTGTGGCACAATGTCCGCGTGCCCCTCTTCGCAGGGAAGATCGCATGTTCAATTCCTGCCAGCCTAAATCTTTATTGGTGTTTGTTGTTCTCAATGGGGTCTGGATTCCGCAAGCCTGCAATTGAAAACGTCGGGACAGGCAGAGCTACATAGACTTGAACACAGTACCCAAGATCTTGCGCGTCAGCAGATTTCAGAGAACCAGGTTCCAATGAACTGCAGGCATGTCATGCATGTTATTTCTTCGGGGCTCAGCCCATCCATCTTGTTTCAGCCAAGGCGCGGAAGAGCATGGCGGAGCTGAGGCTACTGGATGATCGGCCTGGCAGGAGTTGGGATGGCCGTGTTTGTGTAAAGTGCAGTCACACACACACACACACATCAGAGTTAGATGGAATTGTAGACTTGTACATGTGCATGAACGCGTAGGTGTAGATATATATATATATATACATGTATATATATATATATATATACATATGTATATACATGTATATATATATATATATACATATGTATGTGGATATGGGCGATATACATATACCCATAAGAAAGCAACCCCACACACCTCCTTTCAGCCTGTGATGGACGTTTGACGCATTTGAGAATGGAGGCAGTTCGGAGTTCTGGCCGTAAGCATTGCCAGGCTTAACTATAAGTGTCCATCACTTTCCAATGGACCCGTGAATAAATCAAAGCCTTTGCGCTCGGACCCCCTCTCGAATACCCGGCAAGCAAAGAACAACTGAGGTTTTGAGACGACATTTGAGGAGGATTTCAGCAAAAAATAAACACATCTGAGGAGGAAAACATTTGGGACGCACACACACATACACACATTGTGTACTTGTCCTGAGATGCTTGAAGCCAGCGAATTTGGAAACACGGTTCAGGGCAAAGAACGGACATTTGAAGATGTTTTGCAGTTATGCTTACAAACAGCAGATTCAATCTTCTCGCGGGTCTGGCTTTGAATCTTCAATCCAGGAGCCACCTAATGGAGGGCAAGTTCAAGCGTTCCAACGCACTTCAGGGGTTCAGTGTTTGGGTTGAAGATTCCAAATCCAGAGTTCTTCAGTCTCCCATCCCCAAACACTTGAAAGCGCTGAAAAGCAAGCACAGTCTCTTCAAAGGCTATCCTCTTGAGCGCATCGTTTTCACACACATTTATACTATCATATGTATATGAACACATGATTCAACAGCAAGGTTGTCTTGAAAACACCCCAAAGCAGCGTCCTGAAACGAAGGAGAGGGGTGCTTCTCCATTCGTCCAAGAAGTCTGGCAACAGCCTGCCCCATGGTCTCAAAACGGGGCGCTATGCTTGCTGATGGGAGGCCTGACATTGCGAGTTTGGTCCCTCGGGCATCAATAACTGGTTGCGGCTCAAAATGAAAGAGCTAGGAGTACGCAGGTTGAGTCTGTGTTTTCATTTACCAAGGTGCCAAAATATGGTACTTTTCTTTGAGCCACAGCCAAATGATTCCCAGGATCCTTACCAGGATGACCATCCCTGGCACCCCAGGGAAAGGAGCTCATCTTTTGACCACACATGCAAAGGGCATCGGTTCTCCTTTGGGTTTCCCCTCCAAACCGTCCAAAAGGGAATCACTAGAGACCGAAAGCAAAGGATCTGCGAAAGAAACATCTAACCACAGATCCCAGATTTCACAGACATGGATCTGCTTATCACTGGACCTGCGTCAATAGACACATCCTCCAGCGCCCACAGCCCACCCAGATCAGCCTGGTGGACGGCCTCTGGAAGGCCTGGCGACACGGGACAGTGGGAAGCGCCAGACGGAAGGCATGTGGCCGTGGTGTGAAACGCACATCACATGTCACTATACATATATATATATATATATGTATGCATGTATAGATGTGTATATACATATATATATATATATATATTAAACATGCATGTATGTACATGTTTGTGTGTGTTTATAGAGGAATACACATGTATATGTATGTATACATATATATATATGTATATATATGTTAGATTGTATTGTATACGTGTTTCTTTGTGCTTGTATGAACGCTGGGCAGTCGCGTGTGAACAATGCCTACATTTGCATGACTTGGAACGACGGTGTGGCTTGTGATTAGATGAGGGCCTGGATGGCTGTGCAGTCATTTAGGCGCCCCAACTTCACCGCATTGGCATGTCTTGGAGCCAAAAGTTGCCAAGATACCGTGTGATGTCCCCAGGACTTTTCAATGCCGGGACAGTGAACAGCTACACATTCACATTCGGGAACAGCGCGTCTTGACTCATTGAATGCTACTAGCTTTCTATAGGTTCACGTCCAGTCCGAGGGTCAGCCGCGCAGCTGGCCCTCGGACAATGCCGCGCTAGACTGCGGCATCTTTCCCGGGCTCTGCCTCTCTCTCCCTCTCCCCCTCTCTCGCACTCCACTCTCTGAGCTGATGCACACCTACAACTATCTTGGTCAGTTGATTTTGACCTCACCGTTCACTCAGTTTTATTCCGAAAAAAGCACTGAGCCAAGGGATCCGGCATGCAACCCTGTCCCTGACCCAACGCGATCGGCGCCCACCCTCCTGCCTTGAGCCACCCAGAAGGGCTTGCGACCTGAAGAAAGTCGAGTCCAGCCCTCATAAACTCCTGGTTGATTTGGACAGAAACAAGGGGAATAGCCCATTTAGACAGCCACCTGAACTGTTTGTTGGGCGGAATAGCCCCACCCACTGATCGGTCTGCAAGGTGTCAACACTGCCTCGAGAATCATTGCGCAATTGGGGAAAAGTAGGGAAGTGCAGGATATGGCAGGGCTCCAGGCTCCAGCTGAACAAGAAAAAATGATACAAACGCGGAAGGCCATGTCAGCTCTCGTGAGCGGAAGGTAGCAACGGGAAACTCACCAGCCGAGTAGCAGGCTGCTTACTTCCACTGGGCCTTACACGTCCCCACCGCAAAGACTTCCAAGCTCCAGCCACAGGCAAGTAATCAAAACCGTCCAAACCGGGCGCAAAGCACCCCACACCCTCCTTTTGAGCGCCGACTTGAGGCGTTCGCCACTGATACCCTGTTTTCAAGGACGAAGGACAGTGGGTTGGCAGAAGCCTCCACCAATCTCAACAAGGCCTCCTTTCGACGTCCCAAGTGAGTAGGCATTGAAAGTTTGGTGGCTTTAGCATTCACCCCCCCCCTGAGCCGCCGGCTCTTCATCAGATTCCTGGCCAGCCATGTCAAGTAGGGAGAAATTATGTTGGAGATCAAGCTCGAAGTTCTCCGTCTCTTGTCTCTTGTCAAGTTATAAGCATTCCAACCAGGCATGACAGCTCTTGTAATGGCAAAACATGCATCTGTGGAAACAGCATATTCATTGCAACTCAACAGTAGGCCTGAGCTGCGAATGTCATTCAACAATCCGGGTTGAGCACAACATAGCACAACACACATGACATGATCAATGAACACCTTCGCAGGGTTGTGTTGACTTACACACACATACACAGCCTGAGCCGCCTACGAATGCACGTCACGTCCTACAGTCTCACCAGAGTCTTCCTTGAGGTCTCAGTAGCGTGCATCAACTGACCTACAGTATATAGGTTGAGCTGTCAACGTAAAATCCTTCAGCTCTCCGTTCAGAGATGCCTAATCCAATCTAGTGTTATGTACGCTATAGGGCGCCAGCGAACTTCTGATTTCAGTGAGACCTTCAAGCAGCACTGGCATGCAGTCAACTTGGACAAGCAGAGGCGCCCCACGAGGAAACCGCAATGATGCAGGATATATGTCTTTTGAGATCCGAATTGCGCATCCAGTTGCGAAATTACCATTGTTGTTGATTGAAAAAAACTGAAGAAACACATCTGGGCTGGAACCTATGACGTGCACACAACTTGCATTCACATGGGATGAACTGGACCAATCGGCAAGACGCATGTGGATTCAGCGACGGGGGCCTCTTCAGCTTTGAAATCGGATTGGTTCACTTGCCGCCGGATCTCCGCCTGAAGACCGGGGGGGTGAGAAGGTCGAAGCTATGATTGGAACCAGAACAGTGCATAGGCTCTGCTCATCTTGAACCTAAGAAGGTAATTCCTTGAAATGAGGTCCAACACCTAAACCAATGGAGGTCCCTTTCCCCCCCTTTCTGATGCTTCGAGTTGTATCGCAACCATTGGCGCTCATTTGCAAATTCAACTGTGACTCTTGTGGTCAAATGGCCTCTGGTGAGGTCATGTTCAAAACTTACTAGGCCAATGCTCACCTTCACACATTGCATTCACACTTCATATCTCGCGATATATTACGCCAAGCGGAAGGCTTCAGCCTGCACTGACTGGTGGTGGCATGCATCTTGATGCCCAGTGGGTTGTGGTCGATTCATGGTCGAAATGCAACAAACAACCCACACTAGAAACTAGTCATTCACAAAACACAACTAATGCCAACCGTACAAACTTTGCGCTGAGGACCTGATTGTCATCATTCAGTCTCGCTGTTCTTGTCATTCTTTAAATGGAACCGCAGTCAAACGGAGAAACAACTGTCTTTTGTCGTTGCTGGGTTTGACAACGCATACTGATTATGCGAGTGCAAATGCTGCAATTCGTTGACCAGATTAAAATTGTGGATGTGAGGAGGCGACAAGCCACATAACCTGGTTCGAGGGAGCCAGGTCTTGGTGCAAAGTCCACAGCCATCTTTAAGAACCCCGTACTCGCGCTCCTCACTGGTCCAACAAAGCCAAGAAAAGCATCCCTCATGTGCTAGAGGATCCACCAAAAAGACAACTGGCAAACGTGATCCACAACGCCCCAGGACCAAACATGCCTATTGGTTTCCCTTTAAAACCACAAACAGAAAAGGTACCAACTCCGGAAAAGGAAGGCACACCCATACTTAGTCTATAAAATGAGCAAACGGTCCAATATGGGAAATTCCATTTCCTGTTTCAGCCAAAAACATTAAAACAAAAAACAACAAAGATCGGTTGCAAAATAGCAAAAACACACATGCCTCTTGGTTTCCCTTTCAGTCCGCAAGAACTACAAATGCATATTTGGTCTACAAGATGCACACAAAAAACACAATTTGGAGGAAGCAACCGTCTTTAAACAAAAACACTTGGCGACAGCAGCCCTCGTTGCCTCCCTCCCTCCCTCCCTCCCTCCCTCCCTCCCTCCGGCGTTGAACGGGCGCCCGCGCGAAGCGGCGGACGCAGAACTCCCGGTCCTCCTCGCGGGAGAAGACCACGAAGGCAGCGCTGGAGCCCGCGAGGCTGTCCAGGACCTGGGCTTCCGAATTCACCGCTTCCCAGCGGGTGGATTGGCCCAAGGTAAGCGGAGCTTTCTTGCGTGTCACTAAAAATGGGTTCCCAAAAAGTGACTAAAGTGACTCAAGTCAGCGGACGGTTTTCTGGTACACTTTTCATGGTACACTTTTTTCAGTGAGTTTCCCCAAAAGTTTCAAGCCCAAGAACAAAGTGAGTAAAGCTTTCAGGACTCGGGAAGTGAGGTTGCTGCACAATTGTTTAAACAGGTAAGCAGCTTGCCCAAGCAAAGTAAGCGGATTGTTTTACCACTAAAACATAAGTGTCCCAAAACGTGACTATGCAAGGACCCAGGGAGTGAGGTCGCTGTTCTCTGGCGTTTACAAGACCCAATGTTTCCCCGCCGGTTTAGGTCATTCCGGAACCTTAAAGAAAACCAAAACAAGCCATGGCGAAGGGTAGTGGCGAAACGCCTCTGATCGAAGGGAGAGGCGTTCTTGGTTGCTGTAAAGAAGCCCCTGGCAGAAAGTTGCGAACTTGTGGGTCTAATATGGAAAACACATTTCCAGTTTCAACCAACGAGTTGAAGCCCAAAGATCTTGCCCCATAATTAGCCAAAAAGAACAAAGGGTTTGCTCAAATCACAAGGCTGCGGCACAGAATGGTCGCGACTGGTGATGTTCGTGGATTGTTTCCCGCCGCAACCCCCAATGGCTGCCAAATGGCCCCGAAACCCAAAGGTGGTCACGTAAGAAACCAATTTCTTCATGGTCGAAGAGCCTTTGTTCATGGGTTTTGGAGATACGGAAGTTATAGCACCCCCTAGTTCACATCAAACAAGGCAGCCACCCTCCAATTGGTTTGGAGCTCGGTTTGGAGGCGTGGAGGTTGGCTGGCTTGCCATTTACTCCTTAGAACAACCAGGGGTCAAGCAAGCTTCACCTTCCCCCTTGGTTTGGAGCTCGCTGGTTTGGATGGTACCCACCCCAAATGTCTTCATTTCGGAAGGGTTCAAACCCAGAAACCACCAATCCAAACCACCAACTAAGGGTTCTTGGTTGGACGTGGAAAAACAGATTGGAAAAGAGGGTTGCACAAAAGGTTGAGCAAAAACAGAAGCTACATGGGCGTGTCTCAAAATAGGGGACCCGTTTTTGGGTGGGCTTTAAAGGTCAACTAGAGGAAACCGAAGCCATTTTAGAACGTCACCTGTCTTGAGATACACCCATATGAGTATCTGTGCCCTTTGGAGATCTGCTTCAGAAATGCTGTCTTTCCCAAATAAGTCGCTCATGCCTTGGTGCAGAGGTGAACGTAAAAACAAATCCTTTCAGCTTGTGAGTTGGCCGGGGTCCACATCCGCACCACCCTTCTTGAGGCTTCGTGATCATTTGCACGGCAGATGTTTGTTTGTGCAAGCACTGGTGTATGCGAATGTGTCCAAGCGCTACGAGCCTGTGTGACATGTGGACACAGTACGTAGAACATATGCCGTACTTGGTTGTGTGCGCAATACATTATGATTATGCATGATACATGCATGCAGACATACAATGTCCAGCTAGATTTCCCCAGATCCGTCTTGGTTTTCCAACCCAGGGGAATCAATTTCGGGCCGCTGGCCGGACCCCAGGAATCTCGCTGTCTCACTGACTCAAACCTCCATTTGCTTTTGTCCCCTGGAATAAAATACAATATTTCCAGTAGTGATAAATTCCCTTAAAACCAACAGGGGAAAATAAAATAAAACAAAACCACATATTCTTAACCAGATGGAAGAAAACGGCTCACCGGTACCGCAGCTTCCCTCGCAGTTTGGTGGTTTGGAGCCGAATCGGTGGTTTGGAGGTGTTCCGGGGGGTGGTTTCCCACTTCACATCCAAGACCCACAAGTCAGAGGTGATTAGCTCTTGTAGAAGGCCATGCCTAAAAATGGAGGCCAAATGGGTGTGTCTCAAATGGGAGCTTCTTTTGGGAGGAATTGAAAGGCCAAAGCAAACCCACCATTTTTGGGAGGTGTCCATACGTGCATTTGCATAAGTCCCCTGGAAAAAATATGTCCTGTAGTGATAGATTCCCTTTAAAGCCAACGGGGGAAAATAAAATGAAACAAAAAACATATTCAATTCAGCAAATGGGCTTCCGAATATTTTGAAATGGAAAACACAAGTTGTCAGATCCGGTCGATTCGCTTCAGGTCGTTTTTGGACCCGACTCGCGCCGGCTCGGGCGCTCGCCGGCTCGGGCGCCGGCGTAGCCGTCCTGGCTCTCCCCGAAGGACTCCCGCAGGTCCGAGAGCTCCGTGGGGTACACCCCCAGGTGAACGTCCGCCTGGGCTCCAGCGGGGCTCCAAACCGAGCCCTGGGAAAGCCGGGGGAAAAAAACCAACAGGAAAGCAGACACAAAAAGGCAAGATTTGCCAATTTTGAAGAGGCCAAATGAACAGATGAGTGAAGGGTTGTGAAGCTTGAGTTGGACAAATGCAGTCAGAGCAACGAATCAAACTGCAATAAGCCTCATGGGCCTCATTGAAGGACTGAGGGAACGTGCTCAACATACCTCAAGTTTAGCAGCCTCGACAACTTGACCCCTCAGACTTGGACGTCAACCCACCTTGTTGCAGTCAACAAGCATCAGTTGTGCACTGGCCGCACCTGCTCCACCGCCTTCTGGATGCGATCCTCAATGAACTCCACTTCATCAGCGAGATCGTAGGCGATGGAGACCTCATCAAAATGTGCGAAACACGGAGATCCTTTTTTCAAGAGTTGTGAGGTGAGAATGGTGCAGTGTTTGTTCTTGTTTTTGTCACCTTTTCTGCGAGAAAAGACTATGGGCGCCCCCCTGAGAAAGGAATCCCTCACCACGAGGGGGTCGATCATTGTTCCACAGCTGGCAAATCTGAGCAGCCCCGACGCCTTCGATCTCGAAGCCCAAAATCGACTCAAAGAAGGCCTTCACCTGACAACAACTGGGAGCTCAATGGATGTAGGTCTTCATGGAAATCTGTGAAAATAGGTTGCTTTGGGAATTCGAAAGGCAACCCAGCAGTCCATACATTTTGAGGCCAAATAGGGGTCTGGAAAAATATGGAAGATGCCGCAGCCATCTCCTCGAGCTCTATCCAAGCAAGCCCACTTGGCTGCCCTTGTGAATCTGTGCCCTTGCTTTCCCAGCCCTGCCTCGTGTGGAGACCGGGCGGACCTCATCGACTCAGGTGGAAATATCATCCATCGACTGAGCTGAAGCTGATTTGCCCCACGATCCCAAAAAGGCAAATCGCGACCAAGGCAGCGCGGGGCGCAACAATCCTCCTGTTTGGCATGAAAAGCACTGCCGCAATCCGCCGTGTGTGAGGAAAATGCATCCGCTGAAACGAGATCACTATCCACAACATTGCACGCAACCCACGCTCTGCTCAAGTCCTGGACAAATGCCTTAGGACATATTGAGAAACTGTGTGACAGGTTCATGCTTTAATTATATCAGACATAGAGCCCCGCCTCCACAGCAAGCGTTGAAAGAAATTCTCCTTGGATCCCTACAAACCAAACAACCCAGAAAACATTCATGCTTCAACACGTGTCTTCAATCTATCTTCGCCTTGCTTGAAGGATTCACCATCTCAGAAGTTGCCCACCGGTGCACGTAACGTTGGATAGCCCCATGTTCCGTGTCGCAGCCCCCAGGCCCGAAACCGCAAAATGAGCCTCAACGGCGCACCACGGAGAAGCCGACAAACAAAACGGACAAAAGCACAGAGGTCAGGGACCGGAAGTCGGCACACTGCGAAACACCAATTGGCAAAGCTCCGCCTGATGGCTTTGATAAAATAATCATCCAATATGTAGCGACATGATCTTCATGCCAGGAAGAGGCTTTTCCAATACAAACTACTCGTCTTTGATCGTCGTTCTCTTCCAGCGACCCCCACTCCTCGTTGATCGCTCGTGTTTCTCCTTTTCGGCCGGTGAGCGAAGCGAAGCGTTTCCGGGAAGCCGCGCTTTGGAAAGCCGCTCGCCTGCAGCGCGAAGTCCGCGAGGTGCGGCAACTGGCCACGGAAAAGGCTTTGCGAGAAAAAACACAAAAAGCTCAGGTGATATCCCCAACAGCATGCGGTGCTCTTTTTAGTGCTCACACCACCCCGCAGCCCACTCGCAGCCCTCGCAGAACCTCGTGGAACCCTGGTGCCCTGGTGGAACCCTGGTGGAACCCTCGTGGAACCTTCCCTCAGAGCCGCCCCGGACCACCCCGGAGCCTATCTGGGCTGAGACCCCAAAGCTTTCAGCTGTTGGGGGAAAAAACAAACTCCTGGCCTACCCAGCAGACCCAGTTACAACTAGAGTCTCACTTGGCTGTGGGTCAACAATGGGCACCCAAAATGAATTCAATCCCGTACCCACTTCCGATCGAGTGGATCGGCACAAAAACGTCCAAACTTTTAGGTACCACCAAGAGGATGAAGAAAAGACAATCATCCCTCCGGGTTTCATGATACTGTTGACCCGGGTTCGTCAACTTGGTTTTAGGTCCTTCAGTAGAGAGGTTAGAATAAGGGTACCAACTTGCTTTTTCTGTAGTTTATTTTGGTAGCGGAACCCGCCCAACCAAAAAAGTTGGTAAAAGGGCACTACTGGGGGACCTAGGGTAGCTTAATGGAGCCGTCCCAAACAAAACATGATTCATCCGCCTGAAATCTCCGCCTGGGGCACTGCACCTTCTCAACCAGGAACGACCTCACTTAAGTGGATTGGCCTGATTTCGACACCTTCGGCTAAAATGGTCCAAACCCCCCAAAACAGGAGACCCTTCCTCCCAAAAAGCAAAGCACACCACTCGGGGGAGGGCACCTGGAAGGTCAGCTTGCTCTTTGGGGTGTCATGTTGGGGAGAATAAAGTCCGATTCAGAACTCAGAGGGAAAGCTCAACGGAAAGCCACCGTTTTGGGCGGCCCAACCTGGCAAAAGACACATCCCATTGCATGAAAACCACGAAACTCAGCCTCCATTCGCTTTTTCGTCCTCTGGAAAAAATGAGAAACCACTTCCAGTAGTGAAATCGATTCCCTTTAAAACCAACAGGGGGAAACAGTCTTCTTAACCAAATGGAAGTCAGGGAGTGAGGATCTGCTTCGGGCGACTTTCCACGTCGAAAAGCGTGCGGTGCCCGCCTCTTCGCTTTCAGCGCGTGCTGCACGCCCTTGGGTCCAGAGCCACCGCACAGTGGCCACGAAGCAAAAGACCTGCCAGCGATTTCGGGGCATTTTCGGGGATCCGATTTCACGGGCGCCGTGCCAGAGGGCTCAGGCGGCTCAGGGGGGTCTTTTTGCCACCAATTTTGTGGACCATTGATCGACCTTTAGGGGTTTAGGGGTTTAGGGCTCGTAGTGAAGAATCCCTTCTTGAGGGGGTCGGCCAATATTTTTCTAAAACAAAAGGTAGCAAAAAACCCTGAGAGGGCTTTCAGATCGGGAACGAAGGTGCCTTCCGAAGCTTTCCCACAGCCTCTTAGGGACCCAAAATGAAAGGTGGTCTCAGAAGGCCATGACTAAAAATGGACCAAATGGGGGTCGGGTCCAGTACTGGCTTCAGGAATCAGCAGCACACTAAACCGCCAACGCGCCCCCTGAAGCAAATTTCAGCTTGCTAATCACGTTTGTGTCTCTCTTCCCATGAAGCCGATGCTGATAAGGCAGGCTTTTGTGAAATGGTCCGCACGCAACCAAAATAGCACGTAATCCAAACCTTGAGAAAAGTATCCACTTTGCCACAAATGCTCGACTAAAACAAGTGATGACCTCCACTCCTCCTAAACAGATCCAAATCAAAGGTGCTTGATGTGAAATTCCCGGATCCGCATCGTCCCAAATAAAAGCGAATGACTAGCAATTTCCCAACTACAACATCCGGGTTTCTTTTCAACTGGGAACTTTCCCCCCAAACAAATATATAGAAATTGTTTGGTTTCTTTTGGTTTCCGCTCCTCTTCGACCCAAAAACCCGTGGGGGAGGGGGGTGCCCTCTGGCCACTTGGCTTAAGGACTTGCACGCGCGGGTTGTTTTCAGAAAATGACACCTCCGGGCACCTGATATGTGTGTTCAACAGTTTTCTTGGATTTTTGGAAGTGCATGTGCTTAAATTTGGCAACCAGAACACCAAACACACTTATTAACGTTTTTCGCTCCTGCAGGATGTGTCTCAGTACTTGGCTGATGTGGGCAGGGGGGAAGACAGAAGCGCCATCGCTTCCGAGTGCTCGTTTATTGCTCAGAATGCTGCATGTGTTGCGTGAACATGAGAAAGGCGGCACGGGCAGGAATGAACAGAACTTGCACACGTCGAGGCCAGTTGTTGAGGCCAGCGTGATTGACATTCATTCCCAGCCCATGGCTGGATCCGTTTGATTCGGCCATGCTTTGAGGCATCTGTTTGCGCCATGAAGGGCTTGAGGTGTCCGTCCCATGGCTCGACGGGCACCGCACGATGCTGACGCTGCTGCCATCGATGCTGCCATTAACAGCCTGAAGGGCATTGGCGAAAGGCGTCGTCTTCAGGATAGTGACCAAGATGTTTGTCCTGCAATTGCATGTTTTCCTAGCTCTTCGGTCAGGCAGTTGCAACCCTCACTATATCCTAAAGTTGTTTGTTTGGTTTGCTAGCATCTCTTGAGCTGTGCTCAGGCAGAGGCGTCTGCACTTCTAGACCAAGTAAAGCTGATCTTGACAGGCCAGAAACAGGCCACGCTTCAGAAAGTTTCTAGAGAGAGAGGAGGCGGTCTCACGTATTCACTGCAGTCTCTTCTGGAATCTCTCCTGCTCAGCCGACTTGCGGCTTGCCTGTCAATCAGATTGATCGCATGTTTGTCGCTTTGTCAATGTGTGTGTGTGGGTCAGACAGAGCTGTTGAGGGCCACTCGTTCCCACATTCATTTCGGCTTGTGGGCAGCGCGGGCACGGCAGGGCCGGTTTTTTTGCAAGCATCCCTTGGTTTCTTGGCTCTGCCCCTAGCAGGTCAAGAACAACCGCGACCTCGCAGAGTGTGTCACACGAGCACTTGCTTTGGTGCTTGGCGGTGATGTGGCTGCGGTGTACCAACTCAAGCTGCAGCAGGGCGGCCTTCAGTTTCCTTCAGAGTCGGTCTTGAGCCGGGCCAGGCTGAAGCTCGATGTTGCCCTTGCGCTTCGCGAGCAGGCGGGCTTTCGGATGCCCGACGAGCACTTTGTGTACTTGTCTGTCGATAGCTCGCCGCAAAACGGCCTTGATTGGCTGATGACTTTGCAGGATGTTGTCAGGCGGTCAGACGCAGGCAAGCTCATGCTCCTGTTGGAGAAGCGCGATTAGCTGGGACCATTGAATCCGGATGAGGGTGAATCAGAGCTGGACCAGTTCCTTCAGTCCGGGTTCTTGAAAACATCCGCTCTGCCTATTGGCATAGTGGGGAGCGGCAAGTCGGATCTGGCCTCGAAATTCGAATGCCTCTTCCACTGCATCAAGCTGCAGGTGGGAACTCAGGCGCGGGCACCTAAGCGAGTTGATTTGGCTTTTGCTGGGGACGATAGTGGAAGTCGGCGGCAATGAACTCCAGCAACTTTTCGGGGTGGAGTTTTGATTGGCAGGTCAGCGACCTCCGTTCCTTCGCGTCAAGCGTGGTGGGCATGTGCTGCGACTACGGCACTGAGTCTCTGCTCAGTGAGGCACCTGGCTTTGTGACGTCTAATTTGGACCGACACATTCAGCGGCTGAACGTGCCAGAAACAAAGCGAATTCCTTTACAAAGTTGGTGTTTGTTGGGTGCTGCTTTGTCATTCGCAAAACATTATTCTCCCTTTGAAGGTTCCATCCCTGCCGATCCAGCCAACCCTGGACAAGTTGATCTCGCAGTCCAAAGGGCTCTTAAAGAAAAGACCACAGCCAGCTCCACATCAGCCTTCTCAAAGCCAAGCTGCGGGTTTTCTTCAGTTTTGCGATGGAGAGGACGGCGATGCTTTTGTTGCCTCTGCAGTGGTGCCAGGGCAGCATGCCCAACCTGCTGCGCAGGCGGAGCCTGAAATCGTCAGGCCCCACCCTGAACCGGCTGACGCCAACGCGCACTTTGGCTTGACCGGCGCAC